TCAGCGCCACAAATCTGACACACGCACAAAACGCGATGATACGTTGGTTTAGTGATCATCAGTATACTAGGGAGGACATTGATGGCGACGAGAGTAAGGGAGTAGCAGGATTAAGACAATTGGTCAAGGACTATGTCTACTCATACACGTTTGAAGACCTTGAGGCGAATAGGACGTTGTTAATTAATTCCTTACAGCCAGAAGATCGTCAGTATATCGCGGACAACTGGCAGACGAAGGAGTCTCGATTTGTCGTCGCCTATACTAAGCAGTATACTAACCTTGGATGTCGAGCAAGTCAGACAGTTGAGTCTCAAAATAGACTCATTCATCAGGTCACACACGGTCATATGAGTATTGCAGCATCTGCTGCAGGTATTGCTGATTGGAATCGAGACTTCTATAATGAGATGATGGAAGAAGAGGATAGATCCTTGACAGAGAAGGCTGTCGGTGTCGACCGACGCGCATTCCAACTTCTTACTGGCACAGTCAGCTTATACGCAATATCCTTGATTGATCAGCAGTGGGTTAAGCTCAAAAGGCTTATTGGTGATGGTGAGGATATAGAATCTAGGCCTTGTCGGTGTGTTATGCGAGAGCAGTGGCTTCTACCCTGCTATCATGATCTCTGGAAAGCGTATGATACAGGAATACCTCTACCTAGGTCACTGGTTCACCCTAGATATTGGCTTGCTGGTCACGTACACAGATCTCGAGAATGGGCGCCATCATATGAGTCAATTACACCGCTCATTATCTCACCGAAGCGAGCTAGGGTAGAAAGTGCGCTTCAAAAACTAGTACAGCTACGCGATGAGTTCGACGGAGAGGAAAGAGATAAATTCGAGCAGCAATTACTTGCCCTGGCTGGTAGAGGTGAAGCAATTGCTTCTAATTGTAGGGCAATTGGAGCTATTCCAATATCTGCGCCGGAAGCACTACCTAATCGACGAGCAATTGGTCGACGAGAAGCTACAAGGACCGGACGACTACTTACCGCTTTAGAACAGCAAGAACGCGATTCACAACGAGTACAACGAGAAGCAAATGCCCAGTCTCGAGACGATGTGATACTATCACAGCGACAGCCAAGCCAGGGCAGTACTATCGTCGTGAATGTCGATCAGGGCGATACGCAGCTTACGGTAATAGTATCATCATCATCTGGGGCTAATTCTGAGGCGTCGGATGAAGAGACTACTGTAGCGCTGCCACAGTCTCAAACTGAATCCCCAATTCTACGACCACCATCATCTACAGCACCTCCAGCGGTTGCCGGTGAGATCAGAAGCAAGCGACGACGAGCTCAAAGTGGTTTCTACGCCGCATTGATGGATGACGATTCGCAGGAGATGAAGCGAAGGAGATGACGATATTGCCAGACAATTGCGGGATCACATGAAATCGAGTGTAGCTGCGCTGAAGGCGCTGATTGTATTGCTGGAGAATTATCCGAGGAATAAAAAAAATGACAAGTTATTCATTATGCAGGCGCCTACCAAGCCACTGCCAAGAATCGGTGTGTGGCGCAAATAGGTGTCGAAATCGGTGTCCCGATCATCACTCGCAAGGACATGCCTTCTTCGTATGGACTCCGCGGTTGCCGCTCGGATATCGCTGCTTGTGGAAGGATATTCACAACGTACTCAGCCTTTTAGAGGGCGCGAGCATGTCTAGTGCGAGCTTGCGGAAAGTTCCATCCATCCACTGCCGTCATAAAGGTGGGACTCCACCTCGTCGTTGCCTTCACAGTCCAACCGTACAATGGCTGGCCAACCACCGGGATGTTCAGCCAGCAGCTAGGGAAGTGTCGGATTTGTGGCGCTGAATCGCACTGTGTGCTACCACCTACCATTCAGTATGCTGCTGCCTTGCAGGCAGCAGGATTCTGACGGTCCTTATTTATGATGAAATTCTTCTAGTTTTAAAGAAGAAGAACAACGAACTCAACTTTACTTTGAAGAATAGATTTTTGCAGTGATATTGTGCCACCGTATTTCTGACACACATCTACAGATGATTCCAAATAAGTGGGGCATGGCGCGGGTACATGTAGCGACTTGTGGCTGCGGCATTCGG